TTTCTAACCATTTAATTCAATTGCACTACCACTGCCCAGATTAAAATATTTTTACTTTTTAGCACAATGTAAGATACTTGATTTAAATTTCGAATGTATTCTGTTATTAATTGACAGGATAAGCCATTTAAAAGAAATAAACACAGCTATTATTAATTAGTAGCTCGAATCAAGAAATTTCTCGAGCTGGTTTCATAAAATCATTTATATACGTAAAGAATAGTTTCGGTTGGTTTTGTGCGCATTGTTTGTAATTCACAGAAATCTACAGTTTCATAAGGATCTTGATTCAGTTTTGAAAATGGAGGTCACTATCTGCATAGGATTTGGGAAACCCTCCAGACGACGTCCACACTCAGATCGTATATATTAGAACGCTGCGCTCACAACACCCGTCTTAGGATCCCATTGTTGTTGTTGGGTTCTCGCTATCAAAGGAAGTTATATGTGCTAAGCCAGGAATTTATAATTTTGTTCATACAAAAAGTAAATACCTCTGCATATGTTCAATTTGAAATCACATCACCCATCCATTTGAAATCCCATCACCGTCTTTCTTAAAACCCTAATACCATGTTTGTTTTCTCTTTAGAACAATGTAGAAATTTCCAGAACAGTGTAGAAACTTTCCAGAAAGCGGAATTTAAGTGTGCTTGCTATTTTTCACGAATATTTCGAAAACAGTGAAGAAACCAGCGAGTAATTTTCCGAAAAAAAGACGTAACCGCTAACAAAACAAATATCAGCTCTTAACTAAAACCGTTGGATAGTTCTCGACTGTTCTACAGTTTTATTCGAGCTTTACATAATTCATCTTGATGCGGAAAGCGATGCTAAAAATAAAGCTAAAAAGACAAAATAGTGTTAACAGGAGTGAATCCAAGAGCAGGCTGATGATCTACGATGGTTAGCTACACAATAAAAACATTAACAAATGCTTTGGTGTGACATAAAATTTGAATACTTTGAGTTTTCTTCCTTGATTTATTTCAAGTGTATTTGAGTTTCTGAAGACCGTGTACCTGTTTTAGAAGGGTAAGAGTGAGGACACTTAGTAACAACCTTAAGACATAGTCTCTTATCATAAAACAATCGCTTCATGTTCGTTGTCAGCCGCCTCCACATTTGCGATGTCAACGCTTGTTATCATCATCACACAACATTTACTTTACCCATTACCACTTTTCTGAGACTGCACTTCAAGTCAGCCTTCATTTGCATAATTCCCAAAAGCAAAACACGTCAGAGAGAAATAAAATGTACGGGGGGGATAAAACTGCTTGATCTTTTCTCCACAGCTATTGTTCCCATGGTTACGAGTCAAATCTGGATCATCCAGAAAATAACCTTGAAATTCCTTTTTAGAGTAACAGACTGTAGCAGTCAATTTAAGATGCTTGGTGGACAGATTTCGTACGCAAAAACCTTTTTTTTTTCACAAATAAGTCAAATTATAGCTTTACTGTGCATGTTATTCGTTATCGTAGGGTGCAACTGTATTTTTTAAACTTGTGCACCTAATTAAGGGTTAAATTTACTTTTAATTTTTATTTACTTATTTATTTTTCTTTTCAACATCAAAAAATCTTATGTAGTATTCGGAAATTTTAACTAGAAAATTAAGGGATTAGTTAAAAGTTAGCAGATAACAAAGTCAAATACTCGCAATGCTTTAATAAGTTTTATGCAAAAGTGGACTTAATATGTTTATATTTATGTAAGATTTTTTTCTTTTTTTCAGAGTTTAGCTCTGATAGAGACGAACCTTTTACCGGGCACTGATTCAGGATTTAGTTGCAGGTAAGAAAATACATCTTTATTATGTTACAAAGCTTACATACTATTTTTTATGAAGGTTGCATGACCAGATACCTCTTTTTGAATTGATCTTAGACCCAAGGCACCCATTTAAGAAAAAAAATTAAACAAGGTTAACTTTCAGTTTGCATCATATATAATCACATGACATTTTGAAATTTAATAAACAAGCTCAGCCATAAAAGAAAAAAATGTGTTGCCCTTGCGCAAATTAAAGTATGTTCTTTTTCCATGCGACAGTGCTTTGTCGTTCAATAAAGCTTAAGATATCTAATTTTTCTTTCAAATTTATTCTGTTATTAAATAACTAACTAAGCTATTTGAAAATAATAAACGCGAATTCGTTTGTGTTATTTTTAATTACTAAATAGACTCGTGATATGACAGTGGCTAGACTCATTAAAACCATCTGCATATATAATGCACAGTGTCCGTTAGTTTGTTTATGGGCGTGTAATCTATAATATAAATTTATGGGCAAACAAATCTATAGTTTTATTTCGAACTTCATGAAATATTGCACACTTAACCTTCAAAACAAGTGGAAAGCCGCTGTCGACATAACATTTCGAAAAAAATAGCCTACGGAGTCCACACTCAAATCGCTTATAGAACGTTGCGCTTACGTTACCATTTTAGGCTCACGTAGCCGCTGTTGTGTTTCCGCTCTCATTATTAATCATACATAGTAAGCAAGGAATTGATAATTATTCTTGACAAAAAATAAATATTAATATTTCTATACACTTTCAATTTTGAAATCAATTCATCCATCTTGGGTTCACTTTGCCATATTTGCATTATTACTATCAGTTCTTACTTAGATGACCCCGGGTTGATTTACCCCTTAAAAGTGGAACTTCCCAGAAAAGCGGGAAACTTTTGAAGGAGTGTTTAAATGCATTCTCTATCAATTCTTTTCAAATATTTCGAAAGCGAGTGAAGAAATCATCGAAAATTGACGGGAATTTTCCTTAAGCTCAAAGCCCAAGCAATACCAGGTACTTTAGCTAATGAATAGTGAGTCAGAGCCATTTTTTACAAATAGTGTTTCGTAGTTAGGCTTAGATAATAACTATCGGCATGACGACCATTTCATGTCAATTCAATATAATTTACTCCAGCACAAGATAAGACGATATGAGTAAAGTATGCTTTTATAACAAGGAGATGGAGCATATCATTAATTCTTACAAAGTATAAAGGAATTAATTTCCTCTTGAGGTTAGAAAACTTCTTTCTGCAAACATTAGAATTCTTGTGAACATGATTGCCTGACCGGATATGGCGAGGAATTTCAAATGTTTTGGCTCTTATATAGTTAAAACGATCAAGTTCAAATTCATTACTAATGCGGTACCATTTCTACTTCCTTGTACGAAAAAAAGGAATGATTGGAATCTCGAAAATTTTCGGGGATATATTTCAACGGAAATACCATTTTGACCGTTCCTGAATCCATTTGGAGGATTTTTTTTTGCTTGATGTCTATATGTGCGGACACAACAAAAGACTCTTTATTCCAAAACGAATTCTGAAATGGATTCAAAATGAAAATTTTCGTGACGCCAGTACGTACTAGGTATTATCTCCCATAATTCAAACTATTAGCCGCAGAACGTTTAAACTTTGTATCGGGGCTGCTATTACATCTCATCGTGAACCTGTCTTTTTATTCCTTTACTATATACTTCGAATTACAGAAGTGTTTTAATTGATTAAATTATTCATTGGAAAAATCAAGTTTAATTTTTGACAAATAACGAAATCTACCTTTTAATGAGGTCTCCTGTTTTCTATGCTTATATTTGGGAAGTTTCACACTCGTTATGAATAAAAGTAGAAGTTTGATTCCCATGTGACAAAAAATGACCGAAATACCTAATTTCAGGATTTGCAGTTTTTGATGTCATTATCAACTTGCTTTGAGACATGGTTAATTAAGTTAGAATAATTTGTAAAAGTAAATTTAACCAAAGTCCCGAAAAGAATTTGTATTATTTAGTAGGTCGTACAAGGAAGTCATGGGGTATCCACATGAGGTTCTTTAATTTATCATTTGTTTGTTTTGTCTTCCACAGGCAGTGCGAAAAGCGTGAAGATTTGAATCCGATTCTTCTGAGGTTTTACGACTCTACCCTAGAGACGGCTTACGGCAACCAGCACGATTCCAAGTTCGCCTACTCGATGGCTTGCGTGTTTGCACTTTTCATCTGCAACGCCGGAGTACAGCTTCTGGTCTTTACCTTGTAAGTAGGTCATTTCCTAAAGTATGAATTGCGTCTGAGAGATTAGAATTCAAGCCATTCGGCGGAAATGTATTGAACTCTGTAAGTGCATCTAAGAAATGAGCTTGAACTTTAAGTATACAGAACTGCAAAATTTCACGTTCGCCTGGAATCCAAGCCATGTCGAACTACCAGTACTCAGCGATTTTCGCCACTAGTGGGCTTCATTTAGAATAAGGAAACATGAAAAATGTGCAATGTTTAATTAGTTATTGGGAATAGCTATTTAGCTATTGGGAATTCGAAAAATCCACGAGGCGCTTGTGGCAGGCCCGTCTGCTGCAGTTAGCTGAGGTGCGCTTTCTCACAATCTAATAAATAATTTTTTTAAATAATTTAAAATAATACGAATTAACTATCTTTGCCATGTTCATGTAATGCATACATGTGCTTACAATTTGTACGTAATGAATAGTTAAAAAATTTACAATAATGCCCTCGTGAAATTTAAGATAATATTTTTGCACGATGCAAATTCGTACAAATATCGGTAATAAACTCAGATGACGGTGAAGAAATTAGCGCTTTAATGAGCGCTTGTACTGCCAAGGTAAACAGCTATGAATAGCTCAAAGATAAAAACAAATTTAGGACAAATTTGGCTTAACGGTCGATTAGAATGCAAGCAAAGAAGAGCCTATTAGAATAATTTTGCGACATTAAGTATAGAAATTTCTAGATCGTAATTTTTCAAGAATTTTAAAGCAGTAATCAGGAAGTTGGATAAAGTCCCTCGGCCCTCAAATTAATCAATGAGACAACTGATTCTTATCTCCACACTAATTTTAGGTAGGGTTAAGGCTTTGAGAAGAATATGATATGATATGATATGAGGGACGCAGCCCGACCTTCCTGACAGACTTTACGTTGCCCAATGGCCTTTACGTTGCGGGCTGCGCCAGAGTTTGAGAAGAATATATCATAACACATGGAAATGGCTTTTTCCGGTGAATTCTAGAATGTCTCCACTTTGGTCAGAAAGCCCCAAACATCGTATACTTGGCGATAGAATTTTTTGTTGTATCTTCTGTTCTAACTGAGCTGGCTTTGCAATTCAATCGCCGATTTATTGAGAACTTTCAGATCTACAAAAATTGCTCAAAATAAACAGTTACAGGCACAGGAATCGGGCACGGATTTGCGTAGATAAAAATAAGCAAAATTACTCCGTAAATGTTTTGCTATATAAGTAACGCTATGATAATAACAGATATCAAAATAACATTATATAAAAATATTATATAGCACTATATAAAAACATAAAACTATGTAATATACACTGGTGAGAGAAATTAAGAGAATTTTGATAGTTGATATATGATCTCCAAAACTACTGGACAGATCTTAATAAAATTTGATGTGAACATAGTTTGATATAATACTAATAAAATAAACATTCAACAGTTATAATAGACACTCATGTTCGTGTGTAACACTCATGGGAGTCTGAAGGTCGGAAACAGTGGTTTCAAAAAACAAAAAGGGATAATAGGAGGTATGTTCTCTACAACAATAAGCCTGCATGTATATCACTGATATATGGCAGTTGATCAGTGTCTGTAGCAATTGGTTTCACTATTCATCAACGCTGTTTTCAGTTCTGGATGGTCTCGAGGGGGCTGCGAGTTCAGTTGCTCTCTTCACCAGCTTCCCACATAGCTGTATACGTTGAGCTTGGAACCTGCGGCATTCTCTGGCATATCCTCACTCTCGGAAATTCGTCGATCAGAAGAGCTCTATGTGGCCTCGTGTTTCGTCCATAGATGAACTAGGGCCCACGCACCCGGAAAGGCGACCGAGGGCTCCAAAACCTTCCCTATACACCAGTCACACCAGTCACAGAGCCTCTGTCAAAGAAGTGGAGAGGTGGGCGGCCATACAACACCTGCCCAGACCGTTACACCGCCACCGCCATAATTGTTGATTTCGCGGACATTGGGGGGGGAGTAGGTAGCGGGTCCCTGGCTGTCTCCATATGAAAGTACGGCGAGAATCGGTGTTTAGGCTAAAACGGGACTCGTTTGTGAACAGAACGGTCGTCCATTGCTCTGTACTCCAATCACTATGCTGCCTGCACCATGCTAATCGTATTCTCCTGTCCGTAGACATGAGCGGGTCGCAAACAGCCGGTCTTCTGGCAAACAGACCCTCTCTCATTTAGTCTTTTGGAACCAGTCACTCTTATTACACGTGTTCCTGTGGCTGCATACAGGTCCCGAGAGAGCTGAGAAGCTTTAGCCCCTCTGTTACGCCTCGCTAAAATGGACAAATAGCGATCTTCTCTGGCCGTCGTGGCTCTTGGACAACCTTGCCCAGGCTTTCTCTCGATGGATCCAGTATCCTGGAACTGTTTCCATGGGTTACACACGACGCTGGGCGTTAAATTAAGCTCTCTGCATATCTGGACTTGCGATTGCCCTGCCTCTAGCCTCCCCACGCCACTTAATTCCATCATCTAAAGGTTAGTGGTGCTCATTTTTACTGTTTCGATGTGAATTTAACCAATTGCTGCAAGATAACACCAAGAAATTCGGCGAGGCGTGCTAGCGAACGCGATTCGTCTTACCCTCCACGCGCTTATAAAGCCTGTTTTTTTTTCCTGGCTCTGCCTACATACACGTGTACGCTTAAGCATTTCCCGTACAAGATTTGCATTTTTATCTGGAACCAGTGGTTTTTCCTTCAGTTCAGTTCTTTTCATGCAATTCGATAAAATATTCAAATTCTATTAATTTATTTCACCAGTATATATTACATAACAATATATATTGTATTTTACAATATATGTTACATAACAATATATATGTTTTATAAACCCATGTACATCTAATATTATATAATATATATTATGTAACACAATATATAAACACAACACTGTATAACTGTTCATAATATTTGTTATATAACACTATATAATCACATAAGACTATCGCTTCTGTATAAATAAAGAAGTGTGTCCGCGTCTGTCTTTCATACAAATATACACTTTTATTCTGGTCTTGATGAATTTGCCACATTTGGTCTTCAAAACAAGATGAAGGTCACTGTCTACACGAGATTTCTCAAAAACCACCTCATGGGGGTCGCACCCTATATATATATGTAAAATGTTATCTTAATTTAACGAATGTTTGATAAAAACCTCGGCGATTTAAATGCTTTGTCTTACCATTTTGCAAAGCGTGAGATATCTAGGTTTCAAATTTAACCAGAAAATTCGGCAGTATAAAAGGAAAGTTTTGCCAACTTGCAAAACACAGTGTATTTATTTGTCTTTTGAATTTAATAAATGAATTCAGCTATTTAAGAGAATTTTGTTGCCACTGCCCAAATTGAACTATTTTTAAGCATGTCATCATTCACCAACGATTTCGAAAATTGAACCCACGGACTCCCCACATTGGGCGTTTAGATTGAAACAATGCACCCACGACAGCCATCCTGCGTACACATTACCCGTGATTGGTCCACGTCACCATTGTTGCATTCGCGCTATCATTCATGCTAAGTAAGAAATCCATAACTGCTTTTTTACAATAAATATATATTAATATTTCTACATCGTTACAGTTTTGAAATTATGTTACCTATCTCAGGTTAACGTCGCCGTTGTTGCGCTTCCAGTATCAGTTAAGAAACCGTTAGATGACGTCATGTTCTTTTACTCTTGGGAGGAGAGTAGTACCTTTAAAGTTGGATTTAAGTGTGTTCGCTGTCAATTTTTCGTGGACATCTCAAAAGCAGTAGAGAAATCTGCACGCAGTGGATAGTGTTTTTCTAAGGAAAGACATCGCTGATACCAAAGCAAGTATCAATTCTCACTAGAAACCTTAGATGGTGCCGTGACAGTTATCTATTAAGAACGGTGTATAACTTACCAGAGCAGTGTGAAAACTTTGGAGCAGAATTTAAATGCGCTCTCTATCAGCCTCTTCGGTCAGCGCAAAGATCAGTAATGTTGGGTATTTCAGCGAATAAGCTGATAAAACACAAAATATAACGAAATAAACATAAATATTTGCTTAGATTTACAACAATATTAACATACAATAGCGCTTCCGTCTGATTGATTACAGAATTATAACAAAGAATGAGAAAACACAACTAAGATGAGTACTTAAGTGTTAGCTTTGCACTTCTCTGTGCATTAATGCTTGGAGGCTCTTCAATTTGAGATAAAACCCATTTCAATTAGTGGTCGTTCCTCATTTATAACCGAAGTGTTGTTATTGATTGCAAAGCGTAATCAAGTAGCAAGTACTTGAAAGAAGTGTCAGTTTTATGAATCGATCTTTTTTAAGAAGGGATAAAAGATAACGGTTGCAGTCCTTTGCCGTCATTATTCATCTCGATTAATATCCATCGCATTGTTTCCCATAATCTCATTTAGAAAAGCTGTAAAAGTTTTAAAAACAGCATGCGCGCAATTAATTGATCTTATTACAAACAGAAGTAGGTCAACTGTTTTATTACATATCACTATATATGAAAATGGTCTCAAACTTTTGGCCTGCGTACGGCTTCCGAAGCAATTTTATCGAGCCAGCGAATACATTTCAAATGTGTATTTGTTACAAATATGATACTGAATGGCTTTCAAGACTTTTACCGTATTTTACTACTCGCTTCTTAGCACCAGGTTCTGATAATTAAAAAAAAAAAATATTCGCCCAATTCCCAAGTACGTTCAGACAACGATCTCTCCTAAATTTAAAAATGGATTCTTCCACGTAGGAACTGTTTTTGTCTTACTAACAAAGACTAACCTTCGCAATCGACCTGCGAAGGTCACCCCGAACATTTCCCTTCTGAATATTGAACTTAATGCCTGCATAATATAAGAATTGCCCCATCGCGTGGAAGTAAACATAAACTGACGTTCATTCTACGATTTCGCTGAATAGGCTTCGCATTCACGTTCTCTCATTACTGATGGATGATTTGAAGCCTAAGCAGAGACA